TACCCCACTCATGATTTGGAGTTGGCAGCGGTAGTTTTCGCTCTAAAGATATGGGGGCATTACCTCTATGGCACGAAGTGCAAACTTTTCACTGATCATAAGAGTCTCCAATATCTCTTTAGTCAGAAAGAATTGAATATGAGGCAACGACGCTGGCTAGAATTACTTAAGGACTACGACTGTGAGATACTCTACCACCCCGGTAAAGCCAATGTTGTTGCTGATGCTCTCAGTCGGAAAGTCAATCTTGAGAGAAAAAGGCCAAGAGCGTTGAGAATAGAAGTTGTCTCGACCATTGTGGAAAGTACAAAGAAAGCTCAAGAAGAAGCTTCTGAGAAGAATGACCGAAAGGGAGAACGTTTGGGCAAAACGTTGGTGTTTGGTACAAACGGTCATGGACTGAAGGTATTCCAAGGTCGTATTTGGGTACCTAAGTCAGGAGGGATAAGAGATCTTCTGATGGAAGAAGCTCACAAAACCATGTACTCGATTCATCCTGGTAGCACTAAAATGTATAGGGACCTGAAACCCTATTATTGGTGGCCGACGATGAAGCTTGATATTGCAAAGTATGTGGCGGAGTGTGTGACCTGTGCGAGAGTCAAGGCACAACATCAGAAACCATACGGGAGTTTAGAACCTTTACCTGTGCCTATGGGTAAGTGGGAAGACATCACTATGGATTTTGTCACTAAACTGCCCAGAACAAAGAATGGTCACAACATGATTTGGGTGGTCGTTGATCGCTTCACTAAGAGTGCGCATTTCATAGCAGCCAATGAGAAATGGTCTATGGATAAGCTTGCAAATTCTTACGTGAAGGAAATTGTGAGGCTTCACGGTGTTCCGTTAACGATTGTGTCAGATCGTGACAGCCGTTTCACCTCGCGATTTTGGAGAAGTCTACAAGAGGAATTGGGTACCAAGTTGTGTTTAAGTACAGCTTACCATCCACAGACTGATGGTCAGAGCGAAAGGACGATACAAACGCTTGAAGATATGCTGAGAGCATGTACCCTGGAATTCCAAGGTAACTGGGATGAACATTTACCTTTGGTAGAATTTTCCTACAATAATAGTTTCCACTCGAGCATCAAGATGGCACCTTATCAAGCTTTGTACGGACAGAAGTGTCGTACGCCGTCTTGTTGGCTTGAGGCTGGGGAAAAGCAGTTTATGGGACCGGAGATAGTCCATCAAACTGCTGAAAAGTTGAAAATAATTAAGGAGAGAATGTTAGCAGCTCAAGATCGTCAAAAGAGCTATGCTGACAAAAAGCGAAGACCGATGACTTTTGAAGTTGGAGATTCGGTTTTACTTAAAGTCTCACCATGGAAGGGACTTATAAGGTTTGGGAAAAGGGGAAAGTTAAGTCCAAGGTTTATTGGACCGTTTAAAGTTCTTCAGAGGATTGGGAATCAAGCTTACAAGCTCGAATTACCCGAAGAACTGAATGGAATTCATAACACTTTCCATGTGTGTTATTTGAGGAAGTTCACGGGAGAAGTTCCCGATATAATTCCAATTTTTGAGTTAAGAATTGATGAGAACAAGAGGTTAATTGAAGAACCAGAGGCAATCGTTGACCGAAAGACTAAGAAGTTGCGACGCAAGATGGTCGAATTAGTGCTTGTCCGATGGAAACATACGAATGGGCCAAATCTCACCTGGGAAACGGAGAGTGACATGATGAGTCGCTATCCGCATTTGTTTGTTGATGTGTGATTCCGGGGACGGAATCATTCTAAGGTGGGGAGAATTGTAACGCCCGTGTTTCTGGGCTAGGCCTTAATGTTGTTATAATAGTCTAGGTTAACCTTTGTAACTCGTTTTGAAATAATAAGAATGTGTTATTTGAGTATTATGTGTTTTATGCTAAACTATGTGGCTTAATTGAATTAAGAATAAAAATAAGTGTAAAAAATAAAATATTAGATAAGCTCGATATCTATGAAGGAAGTTGTAGTGGTCGTGGCAAGGTTTCCGAATATATAAAGAATGCTGAAATCCGAGTTATAACGAAGAAGTTATGACCTGTCGAAGTTTTGCGACGGAACCGACACGACGCTGAAGGACGTAAAATATGAATTTAAGATAGAGCGATATCTAGCCTTAGTTATCTAAACGAAAGTTGTAGAATGCGTTAAACCGAGAGCGTGCATATAAAGAACGTCTAAATCAGACTTCGTATGAGGAAGTTATGATTTTTCTAAGTTTCGACTGAGTAGTATGCAGCCCGAAATCTCGAAATCGAGATCGAGTGATAATTGGCCAAAACAATCTAAACGAGAATCGAAGATCTCGTCGTTAGTAGTCCATCGATAAAAAGACAGACAAAAACGGACGTCGGATGAAGAAGTTATGATTTTATAACGGAGTTTTCCTGTCCCGGCCTACTAAAAATAATATAATAAAATAATTTCAAAATTAGCCAACGAAGTCTAAATGAAAGTTGTAGAGCATAGTCTCACCTACGCATGGATATAAAGAACGTCGAAAACGGAGCTTGTATGCGAAAGTTATGAATTTTTGAAGATCATGGGACGCATACCAAAGCTTATCCGAAGAGAGCCTGGGGATGCGAGGTACGCCCAGCGTACAAGGAGGTACGCCCCGCGTATATGTCGACACCGAAGTACGCCCTGCGTACGAGATTGGTACGCGCAACGTACTGCTGCTTTCCTCGGTCCAGAAGAGGCCACGTTCCTCCACCGAGACTTCGCCACGTGGAAGCCTTATCCGGAGTACGCCCAGCGTAGGGCCTCGGTACGCCCAGCGTAGTCCGAGGTCTCGCTGCTATAAAAGGGCATGCGAGGTTGCCGACTGCTTTAGCCAAAATTCTTTGTTTCTCTCCCCAATTTTCCTCGTTTTGCGTGCAAGAAATACCCCGAAGCCCCGGTATTATTCCCGAGACCCGAGGCAAGTTCCGAAGCCCCGAAAATCCCGAGAAGTGAAGTTTCCGAGCCGAAACTCTGCCCGCAAGAAGCCCGGTTTTCAAGAAAAACATCCCGGTTTTATCGGAAAAGATTATTTTAAGAGACGAGGTGCTGTCCGATCATCGTCTTATCAAGTGAGTGTATTTTCGTTTTCTTCTAACACATAGATATGAAGTATTCTTTATAAAATACGTGCTATGTGTTTGTATATTATTTGTTTATTTGAACTAGTTGTTGAATGGATGTTTTGTACAGGTTTTAAGTTGTATATAAATGTATATATTTTATCTACTAATATGTTGGGTAGAACATGGGTAGACAGTTGGTGTGTGATGAAATAAAATGATGAGAGGCCTCGATGTTGTTGTTGATCTAGTCATCTAGCGGAGTATGGATGACGACCACGGACTCTTTCTAGACAGTCCAATGGAACGCTAGCAGGCTCATAACCTGTAGGTGTTGTGAACGATGTGTTCACCGGTGTACTCTATCCCCCTCATGGTTGCCTTTAGGACATCTATTGTTAAGGAAACCCCTTTGCAGTAATGTCCGTCCCGATGAAAATCCTAGATTAGGTCCCTTGTAATAGTTGTTGTTTTAGGGACATAAAGTGAGGATAACGGGAATGGGTAATCGGGTTATTGTTGGTTGATGAACTAAATATAATTATTTATTGTGGGTTGAAAACCCTATATGCTCACCAGGCTCCCAAGCCTGACCCACTCAGTTTTTCTTTGTATTACAGGTAGTGGCACGAGAGCATAAGTTGGATGACATTGTCAAGATATTTTTGGATTATAGACCAGTAGTTATATGTAACTGTTGTAAGGTCTATTTTGTATTGTTTATGCTTTTGGTCTGTATCGGAACATGACATCCCGAGTTTTGATATATAATGAAAATACATCTCTTTAAGAAATGCATTGATAAACTTTATTTTATCATGTTTTGTTTTGGGGACAAATTTCCGCAACTCTTTTAAATCAATGGATTTACTCTGAAATTATTTTAAAAGCATAAATGAAACCGGTCTTTTCTGGCCGTGATTTTGGGGATGTCACATTAAATTAATGGCCACTTGCTCTAAGAAACTTATTATATATCGATCCCACATGAACATATAAGATAGTGATCATTAATCAATTAGTTGTGTACGATTCCTATGGCTACAAAAACTTATTTAAAGAACCAAGTAACCTATAACTTCGATGCTATAGTGATAGATCGTATATTGTCTTGACATGTCTTTTTCATCTCACAATGTATTGGTCGTTTTCACTCCACACGTCGACTCAAGGATAATAAACATGATTGATGTTAAGATCACACTCGAAGAAAGTATATATGGTTATCATTCTAAGTTTATTTTTAGGGTTAATGTAACAATTGGATAATTAACTATATCTAAAGTTATTTAAAAAAGTATTTTTAAAGTAAAAAAATATTTTTAAAGTAAAAAAATATTGTCAAGAGATAACAAAATTTAACTTTTATTTTCAAAATATCATTGTTACCTGCAATAGCCTTTGCTCCCGATCACAATGTTATTTTAAAAAACAAAAATAATAGTTTGTTAATTTTTTTATGTCTTTTTTAGTTTAATGATATTTTTAAAAGACTTTACATAGTTCGTTAACTTTTCATAACTTTATTAGCTCATAATATGTATCCCAAACCAAATCAATAATGGTTTTAAGGAAACAAACCAAAACAAAAAGGGCATTATATAACTCATAGTTTCAAATGTATCCAAAAGGGTTAAATATTGATTCACAAAAATTTATAAAATCATATCAAACTCCCAAAAGGTTAATTAAGGAATAATGCAACAACTTATTATGCAATGTGTGCATCTATTCTCAACCATTCTCCATCTCATAAAGTCCAAACTTACATTTTATGGTTATTAGGACTTGTCTATGAAGGACCATATTCCAAACAAATATCTTGTAGAACTATGTAGAAAGGACTGTATTCCAAATATACATATCCTAGACCCATTCAAATGCAAGACTAGATGAGTCGTGAACAACAAAGCGAGTACCAAACAAGGGGTAGCTAATCATGCTTTTGCAAAGTAAGTGTATATAGAAATCTACTCACATTCAACCCCATATGGATATCATGCATGACACCCATAGAGCCCACTTATAAATGCATATAAGAATGCTAACCCATTTTCAACTCATCAACTTTTCAACTCACTAAACATTTTTCGTAAAATAACTTTCATGCAATGCACAAATAATACATATAATAGACATTTAACACATAATAAAAGTTATATAAACTAAATCAATCAAAAAACTGATTTGATGAATGCAAATAAGTACAACGGGTACACCTAACAAGTAAGACAACAATAAATATATCAAGTGATATATATATATATATATATATATATATATATATATATATATATATATATATATAATATTAATTTCATGTCATTTTTTTAAAGGTAAATATCACTATAGCCCAATCAATTATCGTCATTTATCTGATTTGGTCACTAAAGTATTTCTTTTTTGTTCAATAGGTCATTAAACTTACAACTTACATGTCTATTAAGTCACTTCCGTTAGTTTTTAACAGATCATCCGTTAACCAGTTATTATAATTTACAAGAATGGCCCTTATGGTTTCAATTTCTTTTATGGTTGGTCATTTACAACATCATCCGTTAACCAGTTATTATAATTAATTTCTTATTTAGCAAATAGACATTGTTACACTTTCATTCAATGTTGATTCTGAACATATTTTGTTTTTTAAAATGCATTCTTTAAAATCGAAATTCGCTGAAATTATTTTTTTTATAAAAATTAAAATCGATTGAGATTTTTTTGTGAGTGATCGTATGTTAGAATAATGGTTGACGGGGTTGCCCGAGGTGAAGGGTGGTGGTTGTCGAAATTGAACGGTAGTGATGTCGGTGATGAACCGTGCTGGTGTGGGACCAACCATGAAAGAAATTGAAATCATAGGGACCATTCGTGTAATTTATAATAATTGGTTAACGGATGATATGTTAAAATCTAACGAAAGTGACTTAATAGACAGATAAGTTGTAAGGTTAATGACCTATTGCGCAAAAACAATAATTTAGTGACCAAATCGGATAAGTGACGATAGTTGATTGGGCTATAGTGACGTTTACCATTTTTTTTTTTGACTATTGTTATTTTTTTTTATTAATTTAAAAGCTATTTTTTTTGGAAATGATTATTATTATAAAATAATTGTTTGATAATTGTATCGTTGATTTGACATTTCGTATTAAGCTTTATATGTAACATTGTAACTAATTATCTTAACTATTAAGATCGTACTACATAATGATCTCGCATTTTTACTTTAATTCAAAAGTATGCGACTTTGAACTATATAACATAGAAATTAGATTCGAAAACTCGAAGCAAGAGCATAACACGGAGCCATAAAGAGAGTCTAACTTCGTTCCTTCAACTCGAAAGTGAAACAACATCAAAACATGCCTTACAACTTCTTAAATTTAAATGCAACTCCAATTGACATGTTCGTACCTTTTGGATACAATTCGTTTTCTTAATTTTCACATTATTGCTTCTCTGCTTTACAATAATCATAATCTATATATGATATTGTCTTAAACATATCATTCATATTTTTCCTGTAATTTCTATACTAATAAATGAAAAAGCATTTCTTTTTATGTTTAAAGTTGTAATTTATTTTATTTTATTTTTTGTAGAATCTTTCGATCTCGATTCGATATAACAATTACGATTTATGGTGTGAAAACGATCTTATACAAGATTTTGATATTTATAACCTTAACATAAACACCTCAATATATTATTTTAAGAAACATATATTTATTTTATACATCCTTTATCCTAGGTTAACTAAAAATAGCAAGTTTAATACTAAGGGCGTGTTTGGCACAGAGCTTTTGGAAGCGTTTGGAAGCTTCTAGCTTTTAGCTTTTGACAAAACGCTTTAGTTTAAACAAAAAACTTCGTTTGACAGTACGAACGTTTAGCTTTTAGTTTTAACAAAACGCTTTTATCTGAGCTTTTGAAATCAATTTCCATAATTACCCTTAAATATATATTTATATATTTATTTATTTTTAATCAAATATCCTTTTATGTAATTTTATATATTTCAAAAGCTTTCAACTACTTTTGCCAAACATTCATCTAACAAATAAAAGCTACAGCTTCCTGCTACCAGCTATCCGCTACACGCTACCCGTTAACCGCTACCCGCTTCCAGCTAACAACTAATTTTGCCAAACGCGAAAGATTATTTTACATGTTTATGATTATAACTAGCAGTTAATGTGCCGAATTTTACACATCAGGTCTAAAATTCAAACATCGTATATGAATATTTATCCTATATATAGGCTTTGGAATGAATTCGGCATCAACAGTCTATATTGTGCTATTTATTTTTTATTTTTTTCTGTATTAAAATCAATAAAATATTGTTTATCTGAAAAAAAAATGTTATCTAAGTAATTGGTTTACAAGATATATTTTTCTTTTTGAAAAACAAATTCCTTTTACTTTTTTATTTTTTGTCGATAAATACTTTAAGTTCAATAACATATTGAAAGTTATCTTTTATTTTTAATATGAATAAAGCATATAGCTAAATTAACTTTAATGGAAAGATGGGGACTGGGGAGTATATATTCTCAACTGAAGCAGTGGATTCACTCTAACACCACCTCCTGTTTCTAACCAGCGGTGTGCCGGTGCCACCATCCTCCGCCATTAAAGCCCCAGTACTGTCCTTTTTCTAACTCCCTACTCTTAAAACCCACCTCAATTTCCCATTCAACTTCAACGATTTCAATTAACCATTTCATCTTCAACCTACCCCCTGCTTCCAAGTAAGTAATCTCTTTCTCTTTCTTCAGTACTTCTAGATCTCTGCATAGATATCTATTATTTTTCTTATTTATCTGTTGTATTGTTTTAGCAATGGAAGTCGAATCTATTTTTAGCTTTTTGATTCATGAAGCTTCTATTACATGATCTGAACATCGTTTTTGGGGATGTTTTTATTCTTTGTTCTTCATAATCTGAATTCTTATCTATCGATCTTCCAAAAAAATTATACTGTAGATTCATAAAATTGAAATGAAAACTGTGGGGATTAAGATCTTATGCGAACTGCTCATAAGAAATTAGGTTATATAACACTTAGTTCATTCTTCCCCCTTTTCTCCATATTAAAAGAGGTCGAATAGAAATTGAATGAAAATTTGTATGATTTCTTTTGTCGAAATCGATTAATTTTTGATAATTTTTGTGTGGTATTTACAGGTTCAAGCACCAATATGGGTCTCTCACCATACTCAAACCCTTCCGATGCCGGAATCCTATGTGTAATTCTGGTGAAAACCGCCATGTCGATATCTTTCATGAAGGAGATCCTTCGTTCCATCCTTAATCTCGTCGGAATCCATTTCCCGGGGTGGGAGGATGTTTCCGATCAAAGCTTCACAGAGTCACCGGAATGCCGTGGAACACCATCAACGAGTTACATGGAGGAGTTCAGAAGCCGGACACCAACACTCCGGTACGACTCCCTCCTCTCTTCTCCCCTCACCAGACAAGAATGCTCCGTCTGCTTGATTGAATTCAAACCAGACGCAGAGATAAACCACCTCTCCTGTGGACACGTTTTCCATAAATCATGTCTCGAGAAATGGTTAAAATACTGGAACACCACTTGTCCTCTGTGTCGAAACCACATGATGGCGCCTTTAGAATCCGAAGAAAACACCTGTCCGATGTGATCGTGATATCGTGATCGAGTTTAGATTTGTTAGGAGTATAGTCAGTTTTGAGTTTTGTACATATTAATTAACTCCATGGTTTCCGGTGTCATATGCATCTGAGAAACGGAAAAGCTTTGTTCCGGTTTGAATTATATATAATAATAATTATATATTTGAATGAAAGTACATGTTAGTTTTTACAGATAATGAATCGATAAGAATTTTATCAGCATTCTCTAGGTCGTCTCGATTTCTTCATGGTTGTGGTTGTGTTTCCTAAATCTGAAAGGTTTGCACCGACGGAGGCAGTTTTCCGGTAGGCTAATTCAGAAAGGTTGGAGCCGACTGAGACACTGTTCCGGTGGTAGCGACACCTGAAGGAGCCAGGGTGGTTGGTCGGAGCACACAGACAACTGATCTTCATGGCGGAGGATTTTCTGGCACGTGGAGAAGATGGATTGGATGATAATGCTTCGAGTCTTGCGTTGTTCATGTCATCTTCTAGAGATAGTTCATTTAGATCATTCTTGGGTTGTTTTGGTGGCGGTTTTGACATATCTTCACCGGAAGAATCTTGTGTGTTTAAAGATTCGAACACAGGTTCACTAGTATCTAGAAGAACACATCAGATCAAACAAATAGGATCTGAATCTCTTGATGATTCATCGGAAAAAAACAAAAACAAAAAGAAACAGAAAAACATAAAGCGGAAGAGTTTAGAGTTTGTTTACCTTTTTTGATAATGGCAGAAGCTTGTTTATCTATCCACGTTTTCTTGTCTATCCACGTTTTCTTGTTAATGGATATGATGACGATAGAGAAGATAACTATGAAGATGAAAAGGACGAACATCTTTTGGGAGCTTTGATTTCCTCAAACATACAATTCCCCCTATCTTTCCTTTTTTTGTTGAGATTCTATGGTGACTATAATCCCTCTTTCCTACACCTCAAATTTTGGGAATTTTTTGCCACTTTTTCCTCCCGTTTTTCTTATTTAGTAACTATGAGATGATCAGATAATCCACGAACATGAAAGTAGGCTATTATAATTTATAAGAATAATAATAATAAAAATAAAAGAGATATGTAATATGTATGCACCCCACGTTTTCTTCAAGAGGCACATATATTCTTGATTTGAATTGAATATTCAAATGAATAGGTGTTTATTAAGAAATGTAATCAAAGAACAAAAATGAAGGAAATGGTTATTTAAGAATGAGTAAAAGTACAAAAATCACACATTAGTCGATCAGTGGAAACTTACTGGAAATCAAAACAGTAGTGTATCAAAAGAAGAAGTTTAATCATCGAGGCCTTGAGTTTCATCGATCACAGTAAGTGAGGGGGCAAAGCGCACAATCATCTTCTTCCTCGATCCTTTGGCATTTGGGGTTTTGGAGTCGATCCCCTTGTAACGAACACGACGATTACATGATATAGGTTTAGGTTTGACAAGCAATGAAGATTTGATAGGAGTATTCTTGTCTTGACAAATCAAACTATTTGAGTTAGAAATCTCATAACTGGTCGGAATCGGATTCCTGAGTCGGCGACGGAGTTTTTTCACTGTCCGGAGAGGAACAAGAAAGTACTTTTGTCCAGGGACGAGAATCTCCTCCGGCGGAACAATGGAGTCCCAGGGCTGCCGGAATATCTCTGGACGAGCCAAAACGAAATTGGGATACTTGTCAATGATTGAAGACGCTGGGAATGCCATGTAGTGTCGTTCAACCACACCTCCGGCATGAATAATCTGCAAGATCAACGGCTTTTCTCCTACGACAATTGACTCAAAGCTAGGGTTAGGGTTGTTGGTACGGGAGCCGAATAATTTGAGTAGCATGTTATTGTCGAGGGAAACAGGTTTAGGTTTTGGATGGTAGAAGAAAGTATTGGAGGTACGTATGACTTATAGAAGTCATGATCCGATGAAATCGAAGGGATTTTGATTTGTGTTACCGTTTGATTTTTGACGTAGATTCTAGCGGCAGCGACCTGCAGATCAGTGAAGATGAGATCAATGTAGAATATAGAGCAGGCTGTGGCTGCCGATTGTCTTATTATTGGTTATTGTTGTCACTGCAGGAGGCACAACTAAAAAACCGGCAAAAAAAATGATCATAGATGACCTGTAAAAGTGTAAAAGGTAATGCAGAAAATATGAAAAGAGAAAGAGTGAGAGAGATCGACATTTTTAATTTACTTGAGAGTGGATAAGATGAACATGAATCCTAGCTAGAATATTACACTCGAATTTCACCTTTTGTATCCTCTATAACGAAATATATTTGCAAACCAAAACCCATAGGGCCGTAGCTATTTTAGCAGTAAGTCGATTACGAATTTCAAAATGTCTAATTCATATATATGGCCTTACGAGTAATTTTTATTGATTTATTTGTGTAACATTGTAAATGTATTTTGCAATTTACACTTTTGAAATTTCCTGAAAATCTAACATGTTCTCTAATTCGAACAGTTTTTTTTTTTTTTTTTTTTTTTTTTTTTTTTTTTTTTTTTTTAATGCATAACATTTTGTGTTTTAAAATGTTGTATTGTATAATTGTATAAATCATAAATTGTTGTGTATGAATCATTTTCCATTTTTATAGTATGCTTATATTAAATGTTCTTAAGGGCTCTCAAGTTTTTGTTATAGTTTTTCTTATTTGTGTAATATGTTATGATATGAATATTTAAGGACCGATTGATATGTTTTTTTATTGAACATGGTAAGATGTCAAGTCTAACACGGTCAAATTTAGATTTTTTGATATCATAATTAGAAGTTTTTGTTTGGTCATGTAGATTCTAACATGCCTTTTTATTGTGTGTGATAAGAGGAGGTAATCTGACATTGATTCATTCAGCAAGTATCAAATAACCCTTTAACATTATTTCAAAAGAAAAAGAAAATTTGAAAAAACATTTAGAAAACATATAAACATTTAGCAATTTTCATACGAAAATTTCATATTTCTCACTGTTTCCAACTTGCGATACCGTATGAACATTCTTGTTAAAGGCTATAAAAAAAGGTATGTGGAAAAAAAACTTGTAAAGGCAACAAACACAAAGACATATCGGAGTACTGGTCCCGTGTGAACATCCTTGTTAAAGGCTATAAAAAAGGTATGTGAAAAAAAAACTTGTAAAGGCAACAAACACATACGTATTGGAGTACCGGAATGGTCTAAAAATGAACCATTTATGTGTAAGGCCAAGGGCGAAGCCAATAAATTTTTTTAGGGTGTTCCTCATAAATTATTAAACATCCAAAAACTAGAAACATATATAAATTATCAAACAACCGCAAAAGAAAAAAGAAAATATAGGTTCTACTTGGTCTGTTTATATGTTTGCAGAGAGAAAAGAAAGAAAGATATAACAATCAACAAATATGTATATTCAAACATCAAAAGGCAAGATATAGCAATTAAAGAATAAGTATATTCACACTGTGAGTTGTGACTTTCTCTTTTCACAGCATGGGCAAGTGTACTGTATGCAAGTGTGCAACAAAAGGAATTAAATAAACAAATGGTGGGGCTCGGTTGCTATATCTTTTCCCATAATCTAAATAACATAATTTATACAATAAATAATAGTATCATAGGAATCGTATCTACTCCAATTCTAAATAAACAAATTAAGGGAATCCCAATTTTGCTTTGCTGCCGACATATACAACATATACAATAAAAGTATACCCTAAATTCTTTGAAAATATAAAATATTAACATACAATAAGTCAATAACCTCCTGCTTTGCTTGCTTGCTCGATCGCAAACTTCAATTAAGTGAATTAGAAATTTAGAAGACGATGTCTGGTTGTCTTACTTGCTCGATCGCACTTTTCTCCATCTAATTTCCCGCTAATTTGATCTGATGAGATTTGGGGTTCGGACTAATGAAAGCGACGAGAGTGGGCCTGGCTATTTGGGCTAGTAAAAAAAAACAAAAAAAAATTTAATAATCTGAGGGTGGGCCTGGGCTCCCTCTGGCCCCAACGTGGCTCCGCCATTGTGTAAGGCTATCCGGTATGGAGGGGTAAAAGACGTGTGAACTCCTACGTGGCTAGCCAACCCACGTGTGAACACCACCCCTGACTTCGGTGAGTTGGTTGTGGCGTGGTGGCCGAGACGGAGCAAGACACCCAATGAAAAAGAAGAAGGCTCGCAACGGTCTCTTTAATCAAGAAAGTGACAACATATTTTTCAACAATTGGCAACTATGATCCCTTGAGTTTGGGTCAAAAGGCAAAACAAACCCTATCCCTAATTTCCTTCTTAAAAAAGATTTTCAAAATTTGCAATTTTCACCATGGACTTTTATATTCCTATCTTCAAATTTTAAATACGAAGCCGCAACCGGATCTCGACGCGAAAATTTAAACGTTTTTTTAAAAATTCAACAACAAGTTCTTGAAAAATATCGCAACTAAATTTTATGTTTTTTTTAGTAATTTAGGTTTAATTTTATATGTTTTTTTATGTTTTTCTAGAAATTTAGCTTTTATTTTCTATATTTTTTAATTAATGTAACGTTGTTTTAATTAATGTAAAATATTTATTTATGTTATAAATTATGTTTTTTAATCATTTAATGTTAAAAAAAAAGAATATTTTGTAATGATAACCATTTCCAATGTCTAATGGGTTGGTGGTGAAGCTAACGTGACGCAGAGGTGACACCACTTTTTCGGTAGGTTGATGGTGACACTCCCCATAGCCTAATAGGTACAATACCGGTTCTTTAATTTACATTGAAATGATATTTGGTGTTTGACCCAACTTGGAACCGAATATCAATTTGTACTTGATTTGCATATCATATGAGAACTAGGGACGAGCGTACCGGAAGAATCTAGATTTGTACTTCCCCATTTTCATATCATGTAATAACTAACAAATCCTTACCTAAGAATCTAGATTTCTACATCTTTCTTTGTCGTACAAAAACTTCAAGCAAAAGCATGGCATGCATTTACGAAAGTTATGTAAGTTTTTTGTGAATCATGTTTTGCTCTTAGTTGCTTCTGATTTTTTTTGAAAGGCTTAATGCTTAATATTAACTAGTGGGTGAGCCCGTGGTGAACCACGGGACACATTTGTGGCTATTTTTGTACGTTTATTGAAACATGTATTACTGAAATGCGTATTGTTCTATTCACAAAGGATGACGATGAGAAAAAAATGAAGCCAACCGAGAAACGATGACGGAAAGAAAAAAAATAAATAAAAAAAACCAAAACATTACAAAATAAAACCTAAAAAACCAATGGAGAGATGATGACAGGAAAAAAAAACTTTACAAAAGAAAAGGAAACAACGATTTACAATAAAAATAGTCAAATGGAAATAAAAAGGTAAAAGACGACGGAACACATAAAACAAAAAACCAAAGGAATAAAAATAGTCATATGAAAGTAAGAATAATCAAAGACGACGGAAAGAAAGTTTCAAACAAAAAACCAAAGGGAATAAATGAGAAACAATAAAAAAGTGGTGGCCAATATCGAATGAACAACAAACACACTGTTTATAATGACCATGTCAATTAACAGTGTATATAAACTCAAGCCCAAAGCTAAAAAAAAAACCAATAAACCAATTACAAAATAATGGCATTGATTGGATTTTGAAACCAATCAAGTAATCAACCCAAGTAATTATAGCTTTATTGTTTCTATGAACAAACCAATTAAAGGCTTGATCTATGAAAAAAGTTCATCAATATATTCTTCTTGAACTTTTTGCTTCCAAAGACGAAATCATTCCTATATTTCCATATAGTCCACCAAATTGAAATAACAATCACCTCCATTGCTTCCGTTGCTTCTTTTTTCTACAAAGAAATCCTCATCCCTTCTATCCAATTAAAAACTTCATTCCTATATCTCCATATAGTTGCTTCTGATTTTGATTTGAATGCATGTGTACGTAACATACCATGTGGGCTAAAAAGATGGGCAAAAAAATTTGTACTATGTGGTCTAACAAGATGGACTCCTAAAACCGTTCTAAGTGGTGTTGGTAGCATTTACCTGATCCCAACCGGTCCCAATACCAATCCGGATTTCAAGCTTATGAGTTCGGTTTTGGTCCACCAGAGTGACACAAAAAGAAGCGGTACCAAGTACCAACCAGTTCGATACAGTTTCAGGACCACACTCATCCCTATTTTGGAACAAGATAATGAAGATGGTGAAAGCTCGAACCACAATAAGAGAAGAAGAAGCATATGTTTTCCTTTTCTATTTCATCAATGTCATTAACAAAATAATATATATATATATATATATATATATATATATATATATATATATATATATATATATATATAAATAAAATAAGTAGATAACTATATATATATATATATTGATATGGATGCCAAATGGACGCCTTTCAACTCCACATCTTTTGTAACATATTGGAAAGAATCAGGTAGCTAACAAATTTCAAACAAAAAGTTTACTTGGAGGATCAAATGTGAGTATGTGACTGCAGCTTTTAATAACTTTCAGATAGGACAAATATCATAGTTCATTGCCCAAGAATAAAATTAATCCAAATTTTTTTTCTTTACATTTCGTAACGATCTGTAAAATTATACCAGATGGTTTTCTTAATTCCAAATATAGTTAAAGTATATTTTACTGTGAGTCTGTGAGAGGAGTACATATTTATGACCCGAAAATAATTGTTACTAATCTGGAGACTTGGTGGTGGTTAAAGGTTCATAAAGCGTAAGTGTCACAATAATTTTTACATAATCAATTAAGTTTTATGTGATTCCAGAACAAAAAATCATGGTCAAAGCATCCTTTTAAGTTCATGCTTC